TCCGTTCCTCTTTTTTTGCTTTTCCTAATTGTTTCTCATTTTTTTCAAGCATTGTTCAAATTGTCTGACGTTCTTAAATCTGGCTATTCTTTGGTGGATACGGACATATTGTCGGAAAAAACGATGTCTTGTTGCGTTTGTCGTCGACCCTTCAAGCAATGTTTTGTGCAAAGTGGACAATATTTATGGCTCCGCACAGTCTTCTGACCGTCGCGCGTGCGTAATATAATAGAAATCGTCATAATTATTTTCCAGTAATGTTTTTTAGAATATGCATACGTTTGTAATTTCAAAACTGAATAAAGGTAAAAATGAGAAGAAAACGCAAATGATTTCATCTTAAACAGCTTATCTTGATCTACCGTAGATGACACCATTTTTTCCTCTGAAGTATTTGATGACAATAACAATATATTGTTTATAAAGAAATGCTGATTTAGGTGCGGCATTACAGGTATTTTTCAACATACGCTATACTCGTCTCATACTACTCGATTATAAGCTGTCCTCCTTCTCTTCAAAACGCTGTGTACCAAATGTGGCCTATCAAGATATACAATATCCGCAATTGGATATAGCCGACAAACTATCGTACCTTAAATATGTAAGATCACAACAACGAAACATGCCATATGGCAATGTCATCAGTAAAACATATCATATAAAATACTGCCACATCCAATGGCCCGTACCCATTAGTTTCTATTACCCGGAAATTGTGATTACATATGTCCACATTATATCCGTCATAATAAAACGGCATCTTTTATGCTGATTTAATTTACATTTTCTCTTGATAAATCAGCCAGTACTCTTTACTGTTTATCATACTGGCACTGTTATCCTCAAAAAATTGGGTTACTAATGATAGCCGGGAAACTCTCATGTTGTTCGCAAATCTGTTCCTTGTGCATCAACTAAGAAACAAACGCAAAGGCTTTTCTGGATTTTTTTTACAACCATATAAAAAACCCATGCCTACAAAACGTTTAAATTGAAGTCAAGTGGCCATCTCCCGTATACCAAAAATCATCCTACAGCATCTTAATATCATTCATTATTGATTAGTTCCAGCTATATTCAAACAACTCACAAGATCTAGGTGGCATCTATGCGTCTGTGCAAAACCTTTGTCCATCCGAAAGGCATCTTGCTCACAACACCCTAACACTAGGTACGGTATGTCAATAGCACACATCTAAATGTATATAGCTGAGTACACATTTTTAGCACATATTATCCATTAGAACATTTGCGTTTTTTTTTTTAAATAATGAGAAATTTTTACTTCACAGTCATGAATAAAATATTCTTTTAGTTCACCACAAAAGACTAGCAAAATCATACATATTTCGTTGAAAATAGGGAATAAAATCTACTATAAAAAATTCTTTATAGTTGAATAAGTGCTTCCAAATCATGATGTTTACGACTGCTTCTATTTGCAAGAAACGGCATTGAATATTGCGTTCAGTTTTTTCTTCAAGTTTTCAAATATATATAATGCGTTATATTCAATGTAAGGTAATTATTTTTTGCGCATATAATAAATGTATATAAAATGTTTGATATTATAAAAACAAGACTTACTTGAATAAGATCAGACACAAAAACTAAAGATTTATTGATGAAGACAAGAGTTGTTCTATTTATACTAAGTTCTGAATGCCAAAGTAGCAATTTATCTTGTACAACGCTTATCACATCTGGTGAACCTCAGTATTTAGATAGCTGAGATGCACTTCACTTATCATAGCTTGTCCATGTTGTTGCACAACACAGACATATCTACCATCAAGAATACCTTAATCTTTATAGACAGCTGTAGCCCTTCTGGCACAACACAATTGTTTGATCGGTTAGATTAAAATGGGATTTTCTTCTGGGATAAGATTGGATAGGGGTATTATATATAACATGAACTAAATTAAAGCCACGTTAATAGATGTTATCCTTTTAGTTCTCTCTACAATCATCATTATCGCATTTACAACCACAGCAACACAGATATGACAAGAGATCAGATCAAATATAAACCGATATCATCAAGGTTTCAGAGCATTATTACCATCAGCATCGGAGATAGCATCACCAGTCAGAGGACCCAACCGAGCATTGAAGTCATCACAGAGAATAGTATCCCTAGTCGTAGGTAATGAACTGAGGGCCGAGAGCACCTTATCAGAAGATAAGGGTGGAGGAAAGTAAACACAATGAACCGTTAAGGTGCCAACCTTTAGGGACAGAGTGTGCGAATTATAGGACGGTAGCTGGGAGACGGTAAAAGGATAGGAGGAAGAGACAGAAGCAGTGATATCACCAGAGCCACGTTTAAAAGCACCAGGTACTTTCGAGCCATACAGGTGATATTGAGACCAGTCAATCGGATAGGAACCAAAAGTGAGCCAAGTTTCAGTTACAAACAGGACATGAGTATCAACAATATGAGAAATAACATCATGGACTGTTGTTTGACGAAGACCATTCGCATTCCAAAGAGAGAGAGAGAGACAAAAACCGGGGGGACAGACACATTATTCAAATTACCAGACCATGATTCATTGTTAAGAGACATTAGATCTCCATTTCAGAATCAGTAGAAGTATCACGGCGACGCTTGAACAAGAAAGCAGCCTTTTTAGGGTCTTTTTCCTTTAGTCGGTCCATAGCACCAGCAACAGCCTCGTCCAGTTCGGCTTGACCTATCCATCCAAGATCCAGGAACCAACGGCCAACACTACTCACATTAAGTGGCGGATATGGGACAGAGCATCTACGCTGCGAGCATTGACCATCTCAGCAATAAGATCCATTCGATCGTGTTCAGAGTAGGCATCGTACTTTGGGTCGGCAATATTAGCAGGATTCAACGGGTCAAAATCCTCCAATAGTTCCGATTCACTTGCACGGAGCAGAGCCAAGAATTCAGCAACATATTGGGTATGCAGGAGAATACCAATAGCTTCGGAGGCAGGGAAGTTGATGTCGAGGATACGAGACGTATCCACCCCAATGGCCTTGAGAGTGCGTCGAATTTCAGAGCGTAAGATCTTAACAGATCTACCAATATATACATATTGATATCCTTGGGGACCCTTAGCAGCAGACGTTTTGAAGAGACGACCAGCAGCCAACTTTCTCTTAGTAGCTTTATTTGGATCAGGGCGATGTGCAGCCTTCTTAGCTATAGCAGAATAGCTAATAGTACCAGAATCAGTGGTGGCAGTAGCAGAGGTGGTGGATCCAGATGCCCCTTGATGGGGGTGCTTGTAACAGAATCCTGTGACGTGGCTTGCAATTTTTCAATGACCAGATCCTTGTCGTGTAAAATTTTTTTCAAGGCTTGGTTTTCCTTTTCCAAAGCATCGAGACGAGCCAAAATACCATCATGTTGATTAACACGTTCAGAGAGAGAGGCAAGTTGTTGTTGTAACTGTTGCATGATAACAGTAACCTGATTCATATCAGTTGGGTGCTGAAACTCGGGCATATTGCTGATTATTTTTTTTAGAAATTGTTGAAGATCCAAAAAAATATGGAGATGTTCAATAAACTTGAAACTATAACACAATAGACAGAGACTAAAGGCAAGTATACTGGTATAGTTTTGGAGTTGATTGAGTTGCTGATTGTTTGGAAAATAGCGTTTTTCGTGATTCTTAGGAGACTTTTTACGGAGAGGGTGGCAAAAAGTGATGAAAAACGGAAAGAGATGCGGTATAGCTCAGTTTAATATGTTTTTTATTTATTTACAAATGTAGTCAACTGCAGAATCGGTATGATCATATATTGCAAGACTAACAGTGATTCGGCGGGAAAAGCATGTTTAAATTAAAGGTTAGGGAGCTGCTAAAAGGGAGGGGACCAATAAAGTAAACGGCATCAAAATCCACCAGAGAGGAGGAGAAACAAAGGGAGGAATAGCAATGGCCGCGCCGCAAGACGGCGGAGACGAACAGGACTCAAGGTAGAAACCGGCCAGACACACCGCAGCACACCTAAACGTGCAAGCACAAATACCGAGTAACATGCCAGGTTAGAAAGGCGGAAAATATGGATGCGAAGGTGGGATTCGAACCCACGACCTCTCGGCATACTCACTGCTTCCGCATGAAGCTCTAACCAAGTGAGCCATTCAAGCATCCATGCGGGTATAGCTCAGTTTAATATTGGTTTTTATTTATTTACAAATGTAGTCAACTGCGGAATCGGTATGATCATTAAGTTGCAAGACTAACAGTGATTCGGCGGGAAAAAGCATTGTAATGAAATAGCCACCCAAACGCAACTTAATTGAAAACCAAAGTTCATCAAATAGCACTCATTCAAATTCATGCTATTTGGATCTATTAATGAAAGCGCTCAAATGTACATCAAAAACCCATTTAAAAATACTAAAGTAAAGATACACGCTTATATCGCACATCGTGTGAATGAATCACTCCTGATCACAGTGTATTCAATCACACCCATGATGGTCGTAATAGGTGATGGTATCTTTATCCAAATAGAATTAAATCAATAACAAGCATATTCAAATATGACAACTATGCCCTGCTGCCATAGTTGCACAATATCCCAGATAAAGGATTCCATGCTTCAATAACAAACATCACACTTTAAACCATCAAGGTTACATTAAATCATGCTATGCCGATAGCTCATCCAAGCCCATCAAGGTTACTCAAATCGACCCTTATGGCCAGTGCTCCTGCATTGATTACCACTTTAAATCAAACATCAACAACATTTGCCAGATATCGCAATAGCAGCACCTATTGCTCTCTATCATCACTAATCCTACAAGCCAGATGCAAATGTATAAATACTCTTCTTTTTTTTACTCAATTCCAGGATCTTCAGTTCATTTGATACACAAAATAAAATACAGTTGATTTCTATTGTATTTTACCTTTGCTTTATTTTTTTTGTGAAATCTATCTAAACCTGATTTCACTGCAAGCATGTTTTAAATTAAAGGTTGAGGGGAGCTGCTAAAAGGGAGGGACCAGTAATGAAAACGGCATCAAAACCCACCAGAGAAGAGGAGAAACAGGAGGAAATAGCAATGGCCGCGCCGCAAGACGGGGGAGACGAACAGGACTCAAGGTAGAAACCGGCCAGACGCACCGCAGCACACCTAAACGTGCAAGCACAAATACCGAGTAACATGCCAGGTTAGAAAGGCGGAAAATATGGATGCGAAGGTGGCAGGTATAGCTCAGTTTAAAGATTGTTTTTATTTATATACAATTTTATAATTGGGCACTCGGTATGAGCATATGCCATAAAACTAGTAACTATATAGACTAAAGAAAGAAAACCTCAACAGAGACAACGGAAAAGATGAGGAAAAAAGTTTGAGATGGCAGTAAAAGAGCAGAAGACTACTTGTAGTGGCACGATTGATCTTGAGGGATGAACCAACGGATGGGAACTTTGATTTGACTTACCACCGAGGCACCGCACAAAGAAAACAATCGGCCAAACGTTCATCTCAGTTAGCCATGAGAGGGAGGATAGAACCACAATGATCCGGGATCAGGATCAGGAGCGATAGTAGCCAAAGGGTGGACCAGACAGTCGATTGCATGAAGCAAAGATAGTAACGCAGACCAGTATACTGGAGGACCAGCAGAACCACTTATAGGCAGCATGTTCAGGGCATTGTCAATGACATGTACACCAGGAGGAGCAGCAGGCAGAGCATCCCACAGATCACGATCCAAAGCACGACATTGAGGGAAGTGATTTCGAGAGATGAAAGATCCATCCATGCAGGGACATTCCTCACGCATGTTTGCAAAACGACCAAGACGCCAACGAACCAAACGACTACGAGCAGATCGACCAATAGGTAAGTACAGTATGGGATCAGGGCGAGAGACAGAAGGACGGCACGCACGAAGCAGAACATGTTTACCAGTAGTAGTAGCAGCAGCCAGTTGTTGGTCAACCTGATCTTGCCAGAAGTCAGAGAAGTGAGCCTTGAGACCAGCAAATGAAGGGACAGGGTCAGGCAGAGATCTATACAAACTGTTTTCACAGATGTACCGATCCAGTCGAGTGTACGACAGAGCATCACGCAGAACCACCACAAGACTATCCTCAGGTAGAGTAGCAGAACGAAGAGCATACCTAGTTGCCAAGACATTATACCGATGTTTCATTGAAGGGAGACAGGTAATGTGCTTAGCAACGTTGAACCAGGAACCACCCACGAACATACCAACCAGCCGGTTTTGGAGCTTGTCAAGAGCCTCAAAGGTATGATAGTCAAGATGAGATATAGCGAGGCCATACTCAATCTTGGGTCTAACGAAAGCCTTGTACAGACGAGAACAGAGCAGCAGAGAGAAACCATTACGGTTGACACCAACAGAGTTCAGCAAAGCCATAACCTTGACAGCACCAGCGGACCGCAGAGACAAGATACTAGGAGCATGTAGCCCTTTATATCGAAATGGCATACCAAGGTACACAAACTCATCTACCACCGGCAGCGGCTCATTGTAGAGAGTAAGACGAGCATCAGAGAGGGCAGTAGGAGAACCGAGCACAGCACATTTAGATGGCTTCCACCTATAACCAAGACAGACAGAGTGTTCAGCAGCAAGATCCAACATAGACTGGACACCAGACAAAGACCCAAAGATAGCAACATCATCGGCAAAGAGCAAGCTATTGATGGCAATAGGACGACTAGCACCAGGAGGACTGGCCATCGTAGCACCAGTATCAACAGAACGCAAAAGATTCGGTAAGGAGTTGATATACAACGAATACAAATGAGGACTGAGTACTGAGCCTTGAAGTACACCAGTAACAGGAGAGAAAGCAGCAGAGGTATGATTAGCAATCAAGACTGAGACTGAGACATCGTCAAACATGTTCATCAAAAGACCCAGAACAGGACGAGGAAGTGTAGAACCAGCCAGGGCTTGCCATATAACCCTACGATCGACAGTATCATAAGCTGACTTGATATCCAAGAAAGCCACCACAGGATAGCGACGGTGAGTCAGAAAGTAATCATGCATCAAGTCATGCAAGCAGAGGGCTTGATCCAGAGGACTACGTTGAGGACGGAAGCCACCTTGAGCAATATCCAGAGCAGGGGAGTGTTCATCCAGAGCCGGCATGAGACAGAACTCAAACAACTTACGCACCACCGAAGTGAGCGAAATTGGTCGATAATTACCAGGATCGGAAGCATCACCCTTCTTGAAAATCGGAAACACCTGAGCTTGGCGCCATAAACCAGGAGTATAAGACCATTGATAGCAGAGGTGAAACAGCAGAGAGAGCACTGGGGCAATTTCTGAGGTCAGAGCTTTTAACATCTCAGCCTTGATATGGTCAGGACCAGGAGCTTTGTGAGTCGGCAGACGTTTAATACACAGTACCAAGGTATCAGTATCAAACAAAGACATGTCCGCAGGGAGACAGAAAGGCAAGTCAGAAACCATAGGAGTGACAGGAGCAGGACGAGAAGCAGTATTTAACAGAGCACCTTCGTAGACCGTAGCCAAATGAGAGCCCATAGTAGCAACAGAAGCAGCAGGACCATCTGGGTGACTGTACGTAGGTGAAGACTCTTTATTGCGCTTGATGCGTTTTATAGCAGCAGTAGCTTTTGAGAAGTCTCTTTCCAGAGCACCACAGAACTTATGCCAGGACTTGCGCTTAGCAGACTGTACCAAAGAGCGAAAACGGCGATGAGCTTGCTTGTATAAGACCCAACAATCAATCTTTAGTATACCCAAGGGCATACCGCCATCGACTGTAGAGACGATCCCGTTCAGTAGCCGCGTCTTGGATTTCTTGCGTCCAGTATTTCTTCCAATGGCCAGGACGGCCAGACTTCACACCTATTGAAGCTATCCAAACATTCATACAACATTGGTTCAAAGAACCGTTGAGTGCATCAATGTCGGGACGAGTACCAGGAGGAAGCAGACACCAAACCAGAGAGAGTAACAACCAGAGGAGCAACAGAAATCGAAAGGATTCACGGAGTAGGCCAAAGGCCTCTCTTTCGTCAATTTCGAGAGCTTCCATTGCCGCCTAGGAGCCAGAACAGAATCACCAGGAGCCACAGTGTCATCAAGAGGTGGCACATACTCGAAAGTAAGTGACATCAATCGATGGTCAGAACCAAGAGACAGATCAGACTCAACCACCAGTTTGAGGGTTCACCAAAGCAACATCACCAATATTTGTCAGAAACAGATCGATAATACTACTCAATTCTTGCTGCTGCCGAAAAGAAGAGTAAGTCTTAACACCAAAAGCCAAAGACGCATTAAGCACAGATAAGCAATGTTCGTCAAACCAAGGTTTGAGAGCATTACCACGAGCATTGGAGATAACATCACCAGTCAGAGGACCCAACCGAGCATTGAAATCACCGCAGAGAATAGTATCCCTAGTCATAGGTAATGAGCTGAGGGCCGAGAGCACCTTATCAGAGGATAAGGGTGGAGGAAAGTAAACACAATGAACCGTTAGGGTGCCAACCTTGAGAGACAGAGTGTGCGGATTGTATGAAGGGAGTTGGAAGACCGTAAAGGGGCAAGAAGGAGAGACAAAAGCAGTGATACCACCAGAACCACGGTTGAAAGCACCAGGTACTTTTGAACCATACAAGTGGTATTGAGACCAGTCAATCGGATAGGAACCAGAAGTGAGCCAAGTTTCAGTGACAAACAGAACATGAGTATCAACAATATGAGAAATAACATCATGAACTGTTGTTTGACGAAGACCATTCGCATTCCAAAGAGAGAGAGAGACAAAAACCGAGGGGACAGACACATTATTCAAATTACCAGACCATGATTCATTGTTAAGAGACATTAGATCTCCATTTCAGAATCAGTAGAAGTATCACGGCGACGCTTGAACAAGAAAGCAGCCTTTTTAGGGTCTTTTTCCTTTAGTCGGTCCATAGCACCAGCAACAGCCTCGTCCAGTTCGGCTTGACCTATCCATCCAAGATCCAGGAACCAACGGCCAACACTACTCACATTAAGTGGGCGGATATGGGACAGAGCATCTACACTGCGAGCATTGACCATCTCAGCAATAAGATCCATTCGATCGTGTTCAGAGTAGGCATCGTACTTTGGGTCGGCAATATTAGCAGGATTCAACGGGTCAAAATCCTCCAATATTTCCGATTCACTTGCACGGAGCAGAGCCAAGAATTCAGCAACATATTGGGTATGCAAGAGAATACCAATAGCTTCAGAGGCAGGGAAGTTGATGTCGAGGATACGAGACGTATCCACCCCAATGGCCTTGAGAGTGCGTCGAATTTCAGAGCGTAAGATCTTACCAGATCTACCAATATATACATATTGATATCCTTGGGGACCCTTAGCAGCAGACGTTTTGAAGAGACGACCAGCAGCCAACTTTCTCTTAGCAGCTTTAGTTGGATCAGGGCGATGTGCAGCCTTCTTAGCTATAGCAGAATAGCTAATAGTACCAGAATCAGTGGTGGCAGTAGCAGAGGTGGTGGATCCAGATGCCCCTTTGATGGGGGTGCTTGTAACAGAATCCTGTGACGTGGCTTGCAATTTTTCAATGACCAGATCCTTGTCGTGTAAAATTTTTTTCAAGGCTTGGTTTTCCTTTTCCAAAGCATCGAGACGAGCCAAAATACCATCATGTTGATTAACACGTTCAGAGAGAGAGGCAAGTTGTTGTTGTAACTGTTGCATGATAACAGTAACCTGATTCATATCAGTTGGGTGCTGAAACTCGGGCATGTTGCTGATTATTTTTTTAGAAATTGTTGAAGATCCAAAAAAATATGAAGGAGATGTTCAATAAACTTGAAACTATAACACAATAGACAGAGACTAAAGGCAAGTATACTGGTATAGTTTTGGAGTTGATTGAGTTGCTGATTGTTGGGAAAATAGCGTTTTTCGTGATTCTAAGGAGACTTTTTACGGAGAGGGTGGCAAAAAGTGATGAAAAACGGAAAGAGATCGCGCGGGTATAGCTCAGTTTAAGATTGTTTTTATTTATATACAATGTTTTATAATTGGGCACTCGGTATGAGCATATGCCATAAAACTAGTAACTATATAGACTAAAGAAAGAAAACCTCAACAGAGACAACGGAAAAGATGAGGAAAAAAGTTTGAGATGGCAGTAAAAGAGCAGAAGACTACTTGTAGTGGCACGATTGATCTTGAGGGATGAACCAACGGATGGGAACTTTGATTTGACTTACCACCGAGGCACCGCACAAAGAAAACAATCGGCCAAACGTTCATCTCAGTTAGCCATGAGAGGGAGGATAGAACCACAATGATCCGGGATCAGGATCAGGAGCGATAGTAGCCAAAGGGTGGACCAGACAGTCGATTGCATGAAGCAAAGATAGTAACGCAGACCAGTATACTGGAGGACCAGCAGAACCACTTATAGGCAGCATGTTCAGGGCATTGTCAATGACATGTACACCAGGAGGAGCAGCAGGCAGAGCATCCCACAGATCACGATCCAAAGCACGACATTGAGGGAAGTGATTTCGAGAGATGAAAGATCCATCCATGCAGGGACATTCCTCACGCATGTTTGCAAAACGACCAAGACGCCAACGAACCAAACGACTACGAGCAGATCGACCAATAGGTAAGTACAGTATGGGATCAGGGCGAGAGACAGAAGGACGGCACGCACGAAGCAGAACATGTTTACCAGTAGTAGTAGCAGCAGCCAGTTGTTGGTCAACCTGATCTTGCCAGAAGTCAGAGAAGTGAGCCTTGAGACCAGCAAATGAAGGGACAGGGTCAGGCAGAGATCTATACAAACTGTTTTCACAGATGTACCGATCCAGTCGAGTGTACGACAGAGCATCACGCAGAACCACCACAAGACTATCCTCAGGTAGAGTAGCAGAACGAAGAGCATACCTAGTTGCCAAGACATTATACCGATGTTTCATTGAAGGGAGACAGGTAATGTGCTTAGCAACGTTGAACCAGGAACCACCCACGAACATACCAACCAGCCGGTTTTGGAGCTTGTCAAGAGCCTCAAAGGTATGATAGTCAAGATGAGATATAGCGAGGCCATACTCAATCTTGGGTCTAACGAAAGCCTTGTACAGACGAGAACAGAGCAGCAGAGAGAAACCATTACGGTTGACACCAACAGAGTTCAGCAAAGCCATAACCTTGACAGCACCAGCGGACCGCAGAGACAAGATACTAGGAGCATGTAGCCCTTTATATCGAAATGGCATACCAAGGTACACAAACTCATCTACCACCGGCAGCGGCTCATTGTAGAGAGTAAGACGAGCATCAGAGAGGGCAGTAGGAGAACCGAGCACAGCACATTTAGATGGCTTCCACCTATAACCAAGACAGACAGAGTGTTCAGCAGCAAGATCCAACATAGACTGGACACCAGACAAAGACCCAAAGATAGCAACATCATCGGCAAAGAGCAAGCTATTGATGGCAATAGGACGACTAGCACCAGGAGGACTGACCATCGTAGCACCAGTATCAACAGAACGCAAAAGATTCGGTAAGGAGTTGATATACAACGAATACAAATGAGGACTGAGTACTGAGCCTTGAAGTACACCAGTAACAGGAGAGAAAGCAGCAGAGGTATGATTAGCAATCAAGACTGAGACTGAGACATCGTCAAACATGTTCATCAAAAGACCCAGAACAGGACGAGGAAGTGTAGAACCAGCCAGGGCTTGCCATATAACCCTACGATCGACAGTATCATAAGCTGACTTGATATCCAAGAAAGCCACCACAGGATAGCGACGGTGAGTCAGAAAGTAATCATGCATCAAGTCATGCAAGCAGAGGGCTTGATCCAGAGGACTACGTTGAGGACGGAAGCCACCTTGAGCAATATCCAGAGCAGGGGAGTGTTCATCCAGAGCCGGCATGAGACAGAACTCAAACAACTTACGCACCACCGAAGTGAGCGAAATTGGTCGATAATTACCAGGATCGGAAGCATCACCCTTCTTGAAAATCGGAAACACCTGAGCTTGGCGCCATAAACCAGGAGTATAAGACCATTGATAGCAGAGGTGAAACAGCAGAGAGAGCACTGGGGCAATTTCTGAGGTCAGAGCTTTTAACATCTCAGCCTTGATATGGTCAGGACCAGGAGCTTTGTGAGTCGGCAGACGTTTAATACACAGTACCAAGGTATCAGTATCAAACAAAGACATGTCCGCAGGGAGACAGAAAGGCAAGTCAGAAACCATAGGAGTGACAGGAGCAGGACGAGAAGCAGTATTTAACAGAGCACCTTCGTAGACCGTAGCCAAATGAGAGCCCATAGTAGCAACAGAAGCAGCAGGACCATCTGGGTGACTGTACGTAGGTGAAGACTCTTTATTGCGCTTGATGCGTTTTATAGCAGCAGTAGCTTTTGAGAAGTCTCTTTCCAGAGCACCACAGAACTTATGCCAGGACTTGCGCTTAGCAGACTGTACCAAAGAGCGAAAACGGCGATGAGCTTGCTTGTATAAGACCCAACAATCAATCTTAGTATACCCAAGGGCATACCGCCATCGACTGTAGAGACGATCCCGTTCAGTAGCCGCGTCTTGGATTTCTTGCGTCCAGTATTTCTTCCAATGGCCAGGACGGCCAGACTTCACACCTATTGAGCTATCCAAACATTCATACAAACATTGGTTCAAAGAACCGTTGAGTGCATCAATGTCGGGACGAGTACCAGGAGGAGCAGACACCAAACCAGAGAGAGTAACAACCAGAGGAGCAACAGAAGATCGAAAGGATTCACGGAGTAGGCCCAAAGGCCTCTCTTTCGTCAATTTCGAGAGCTTCCATTGCCGCCTAGGAGCCAGAACAGAATCACCAGGAGCCACAGTGTCATCAAGAGGTGGCACATACTCGAAAGTAAGTGACATCAATCGATGGTCAGAACCAAGAGACAGATCAGACTCAACCACCAGTTGAGGGTTCACCAAAGCAACATCACCAATATTTGTCAGAAACAGATCGATAATACTACTCAATTCTTGCTGCTGCCGAAAAGAAGAGTAAGTCTTAACACCAAAAGCCAAAGACGCATTAAGCACAGATAAGCAATGTTCGTCAAACCAAGGTTTGAGAGCATTACCACGAGCATTGGAGCTAACATCACCAGTCAGAGGACCCAACCGAGCATTGAAATCACCGCAGAGAATAGTATCCCTAGTCATAGGTAATGAGCTGAGGGCCGAGAGCACCTTATCAGAGGATAAGGGTGGAGGAAAGTAAACACAATGAACCGTTAGGGTGCCAACCTTGAGAGACAGAGTGTGCGGATTGTATGAAGGGAGTTGGAAGACCGTAAAGGGGCAAGAAGGAGAGACAAAAGCAGTGATACCACCAGAACCACGGTTGAAAGCACCAGGTACTTTTGAACCATACAAGTGGTATTGAGACCAGTCAATCGGATAGGAACCAGAAGTGAGCCAAGTTTCAGTGACAAACAGAACATGAGTATCAACAATATGAGAAATAACATCATGAACTGTTGTTTGACGAAGACCATTCGCATTCCAAAGAGAGAGAGAGACAAAAACCGAGGGGACAGACACATTATTCAAATTACCAGACCATGATTCATTGTTAAGAGACATTAGATCTCCATTTCAGAATCAGTAGAAGTATCACGGCGACGCTTGAACAAGAAAGCAGCCTTTTTAGGGTCTTTTTCCTTTAGTCGGTCCATAGCACCAGCAACAGCCTCGTCCAGTTCGGCTTGACCTATCCATCCAAGATCCAGGAACCAACGGCCAACACTA